ACAAAGCCCTGTCCTTTGAATTTACAGTCTGAATATAAAACACTTTGTGAGACCGGTGTATTTCTGTCTAAAATACATGGTTAAATTTAAGAGTGCCCGGGTGACACTAGTGGCCTGTGATATATAACTGGTCAGGTTAAATGACCTCTATGTACCTTCTCGCCTGAAGCTCAGAGCAACAGCAAGTGGAGCAGATTGAATGGGTCCCATTTATTGTTCTTTTAATTGCCTGCTAATATTTCTTTCAGTAGGAAGGAATAATAGGCCCCTTCTATCTCTAAATGTCTTCCAAACTATCCAAAATAGCAGTTCAGCCAAAACAAATAAGGGGTCTTCAGTTCTCTACAAATGGAAAAGCAACTGGCTGGGGAACCAGGAGATTCCTGTTCCTCCTGTAGCCCTGCAATAGACCTTGGGCAAGTAATTTAAACTGTCTATGCCTTGATCCCCCACCCATGAAATGGTGTGATAATACTTTCTTTATCCCACACTTTATTAATCTTGCCTAGTCCGGCTGTTCTCTGCTTATGGGCTATGTCCAGCATCACAGGACCATGACCTGGCTCTGCAGATAACACAGGATTGCATTAGGTCAAGGAATATTTTTTTTTTTTCCTAGTAAAAATCAAAACCAAAGCAGAGTAGAACAAACAAAAAAATACAATCATCATAATTTCTTACGGAATTGTTGTCTATCTGAATGTGGAGAAAATAACAAGTTTCCTTTAAAAGGACTCGCAATGAAATTCACACTGTGTCAGGTGTAAATTACAGCCTGTATCTCATCTTGTTCTATCTACAGTTCCTTTCTTAGTCATGCATAGCAGCAGTGTACAAAAATATTTCCTGCATGTGATCAAGCGAGTATGGGCACATAAGCTGCAAACAAAATATGAGACTTTAAAAAAAATGTTTACTGGTATCTTAAAAGAAAACTAAAAGTTTGTAATCATGCCATTTCTCAGTCAGATAACTGATTTACTTCGAAACACAATTGTGCCTGGAAACACAATTCAAATAAACCTATGAAATATTCTCTGTAGGAAGTTACAGGGAACTGAGGGAGCTAAAAATAAATGACAAAAAAAAATTATCCCAGGAACATGATTATATTGTGCAATCACAGGTATAGTAGATCACTTAAATTAACACCTGATCATAATAGAGCTGCTCAGTGGAATAGCATGGGAGATATGCTTTTCATCTTTTTTTCCCCAGTGTTTTACACAAGACCTTCTGATTGCATATGCTTTATGACATCTAATAGATTACTTCAGGCAAATATCTACACACCATAGCAAACACTGCAGAAACCCAGTTTCATCTATGCTCATCTTTGAAACAGTGAACTCCTCCTCAAGTCCCACGGGTTGGTGACACTGCAAAGTGCATCACTGGCGCATGGTGAAGCATCACCAAGTTTGGGAGGAGTTGCCAGATGGAGTTGTAGCACATCGTTGTGTTAGTCCGTATTTCGGGGTACAAACAAGATTTCAGCCTTGGTAGAAATTCAGTGGTGTTAATCTTCTTTAGGACAACTGTGGCTAGGGGCAAGGGAGCAGCATATTCAGTTTAATTATATGGCCAGAAACGCTTGAGCTACAAAATTCTCTCTTTTAAGTTGGCAATTTCCTTTCATTCAGGAATAGTTTAAAAAGTCTTAATTGGTACGCTATCTATACAAAGACTATACCGAAGCTTTACTACCGATTAGCTCTCCAAATTCTTATCAGTTGGTGAAGACTTGATATATGCCACAGTTCAGATGTGAAGCAATAATTTTCTAGATGATAATCAAACCCCTTTATTGGGCACTCAAGTTTAAAATTTGCTTGTTCGAATAGTGCATGAATAAAACAGCTTCATATGGTTTCTCAGTGCATGGAAAGAGCTGCCATACCTGCTACGCATGGCTACAGAACCTCTGAAGAACCTGTAGACAAGGTACCAGATTTTCCTGTCATCTCCGGCACAGTTTTTGCACTTTCCAGGACAAGACAATCAAGCTTTGACCTTTAGCTTCCTAGTAATCAATACCTGGGCCAGCAAATTCAGCTTACTTGTGGTCCATGCATGTTTCTAAGAGGGCTTTAATGGTGGAAAGATTCATGCTCCACCTCATCTCAGTGGTACTAAGATTCACGTATGCAGATCCATCACTGAGAATGGCCTGGCCTCTGTTATCATTAATTGAAGCATATTAAGAGACTTGGCGGAAAAAAAATACCCAAATTTGAAATGTCAAGAGACAGATCCATCTAGTTTCACATCCTGTTGTTATAATATACCTTAATTACAGTTAATTAGGAGATATTGTTCCTGGTGGAAGAGCATCTGACACAGTTTTTGCGGGTGATTAAACATAGAACAGAATCTGATGCATTCGTTGAATGCAGGATCCGTTTATTCCGATGGTACAACTCTATCTAGAGTATCATTCCTATTACACAGCAAAACAAAAGACAGTCACAGGCCAAAAATATTTCCCTTGCTTCACGATGCTTTAATATTCCCTGCTATCTTCTTAATTTTTCTGCTGCTGGCCCTTTGGGACTCTGGCAGATGATCCAGCGCCCACTGAATTTAATCAGAGGCTTCTCAGTTGGCTTCAGCTGAGCCACATCAGATCCTAAACGAACAGCAGAGAGAGGAAAAGGCTGAGGGAAAACAAGTGCTACAGGGATTGACTTCTGTGGAAAAACAATGCAGTCGGACACAATGTCAATGAGGGCTTCGATACCCTTTGTGAAAGAGTAATCTTTGATTTATTGGAGGAGTGCTATTAGCTGGAATCCTTTACTCATACAGTAGAAAATACAAAAAGTGGAAACCCAGACTGGAGCCGTGAGCCCAGCTTCTGCTGGTGTCAATAAGGTTTGCTCACACTCATTGATCTGTGGCTGTACATGACCCTGAAATATGTTTTGCTGGGCTGCCTGAGATCATTGCTTATGCTTAGAATAGAAATGGCAGGATTGGTTTTATCACTGAAAAGTAAGCAGTGCATGTCTTCTGCCTGAAAAGTAACCAAACTAACGTTTGTGAAGTAATCCTTTTTCTCAGTTAAAAAAAAAAAAAAAAGTACCATTATTGGCTAGGTTACTTCTACTAGAAAAGGTCTTGTTTTTTACAAACTCTATGCACACTGGTTTCCTAAACGCTCATTTACTCTGAACTGCAACAATTGCGATAAATCATTTGCTGTTTACTCTTTAGTGCAACTACATGCTTTGGGCAAAGATTTTTTAATTATTATTTATTTATTTTTAAAAGCAAACCCACTCTTTTAACACATTTTTCCATTCCCAGTGATGATTTTATCTTTGATATGTGATCCAGCTATTTAACTACCTCTCACCACTTCTCCCATGAATTGTTTATACAGCAACTTGGCAGCATAATTTGCATATCACAGGAAAGATCCCATTACATGTTCCCAGAAGTGCGGTTTTACCAGCTTTATCACTTTCTGCCACCTATGCATATCCCCGAAGCAGAGTGTCTGGTTAATCCAGAAAGGCACTTCTTGGCTGCCAATAGTAATTAAACATTAATGGTGCGGTTACAAAATTTTCAGTCACTCAAAACTTATCTTCCCATTGTCTTCAATAAATATAATACCTAAAAAAGATATTTATCTTTTCGTACAGATTTTCCTGCTGCAGGAAGATCACAGAGCGTTACCTTTACTGTATTCTGTTCAGCTGTTGCAGACTTGACCTAAAATAATTAGACAAGGAACAAATGCACAAAGACAGAAAAGTTGAAAAGAAGGGAAATGTGCTTCGAAGCTGAGTAACTCGAGGTACCACAGAAGAGCCGGAGAAGACTTGGGGCTGGACACGGTATTTACTCTCCTGACTCTTATTTGGTGACCGAAGGGCACAATGCCTCTAACTGCAGGTTTCTTGGTGATGAAAAGCCCATGTTTGGGTGTATTCCAGATTATTCTTCACCCATTGTATGAAACATAAAAAAATGACAGCAGCATAACTTTCACTGGGAGGAACACTTACTCCCAGAGCACTCCAGCAACATCAAAGCGTACAGCCAGTGGGGATCCGGGGACAGAAATTAAAGGGAAGCCAGATCCACACCACAGTCAAATGCCAAGGAATTTCCTTGCACAAAGTGTTGCTGCCTCCAGATGTTTTCCCAATAAGCAGACAAACAGTCCTGTGCCTTCACATAGAGTCGTCCAGCATACATTTGGGGGGAACAAACATTGCAGGAACCAAATCTTGCTACCTATGATTGTCCCTGTGCAAATCCACCCTGCAGTGAAAGACTACACACATGAAATTTCAGAAATGCAAACTCAGTTTGGGTGAAATTTGGAGTCTGAGACCTAAAGTAGACTTTTTAGCAGAAACAGCCTTCTCAGAAAGTACCCCAGGCCACCACAGTAACACCCCTCAATTGCAGACAGTGCAATAGCCACCCCAGCACCTTTCTTTCTAGCAAGATGACAATCCCACAAAATCCCTAATACCATAGAAAGTTGTAAGAGAGAGAAGGGGTTGATTCACTGACAAAACTAAGGGGTTATTGAGTCAGTAGCCTTTGAGTCACAAAGTCAACCTCAGTGAACAGTGATTGAAACTTGTTATCCTCCCATAGCCCGAGAGCGAGTTATATAGTGCAACAGCCAGCAGTCACAGTGACAGAGCAAAAGGCAGATTAAGCACAGCTGTCCCCTCAAGTCCAGGGATAGCCTGGTGGGCAGGAAGGAAAATCTGAGCTGTTCCTGCCTGTTTAAAAGACAGCACTTAGTTTTCGAGCCTGTCAGCATGATCCTTTTTGAACACATTGTGTTTACTGACATGCCACCCTGACATTTTGGTTTAGTAGTAAAAAAAAAGAAAAAACAAGAGGTAAGGTTATAAAATCAAATATGATGTTTTCTGCATGTTAAAAGAAGTATTGCTCCCACAGAGACCTGGAAGCTCAAACCGCTGCAGCGCTGTGCCAGTACATGAAAACCAAAAAATGGAACTGACCTGGGTTTCACGGTTCAAGCGTGCCGTGGCAGGGATCCTGGCACTACTTCCAAATTCAACACTCCAATAAACACAGTTGTAGTTTCTTGAAGTGGATGCTTTTAATGCAATCTGAAAAGGGTGAGAGAAAGGGCATACTCCTGATGCCTATATTTCTTAGGTAGAAATAATTCTGCCTGGAGAAGCCCGTCTCGTGACTGTTTGCTATTAAGACTGTACGGGAGAGAGGGAGCGTCTTTGAGTTCACATACTTAATGCTCAGTGGTGTGTCTGCGGAGTGGCAGGAAATAAACAACAGCGAGGAGGGGTTAACCAGAGACCTGCTGGCTAAAATCTGTACGCCTGGGAACGGGAGGGAGAGGGCTGCAAGGTCAGATATAGTTTAATTGTTTCTAATAAGGGGATTGGCCACAGAGCTACCAGGCACAAAGACGCCTAGCACAAACTCTACCCACTTTCCATCTCCCCCCTAAGCCCAAACCAGCAGTTGTGCATGTCACGTCAGTCTTTCTGAACGGATCTAGAACCGCCTTCTAGCCCCCAAATAGAGCATCACTGCAAAGCACCCGTACAGTAAGCAGAAAGAGAGGACAGAGAGATTAAATACGCCACCTATGCATGGATCTCCATCAGAATACCTAAAACCCATCAATCTCACCCCAAGATGTATTCTCCACCTTATTTCCTAAAACAGCTGCGTGCCTCCTGGAGAAATGCCACCATTCCGCCATAATTGCATTAAGGGGATGTCCATGCAGAAGGTCAGACGCAAGTAATAATGTCTCTGAGCTTGATATGAGATGGTAGAAAATCCCTTTTCTTGGAGTCTGCCTACCAGAATTTCACCACTGCTCCACTAGATTTCTCCTTTCATCACAACTGATGCAGCAGGCAGGAAAGAGGAGCGCTTGTTGAAGTTATCATCAGCCGCGGATGCAGGCATTGGTCTAGAGTTGGGCATGGAGCACAGCACGAGTCAGAAAGCCCAGACGTGGGGAGGGCTTGAGAAGAGGAGGGAGGGCAGCTGCCCATTACGCTTGGAAATGTGCAGAGGAAGAATGAGCAAAGCTATACATTAGAAGAGCTTGTTCAGCTGCAAGATGTAAAGGATACAGCAGACATATTCCAGAAGATCTGTCACAAGCACTGACATTGGCAGAAATGGGATGCGGTTGAAGACATTTTGCTAACGATCTTCCCGGTAACTTTTCTCCGAGAAAGACCTGGGGTACTGCCCCCTGTCCAAAACCTCCCCCCGATTCTATAACAGAATTACTGGACAATGGTATTGAGGAAACACCCATCATAATGGAGAAACATACTGTAAAGCATAATGTAGTACTGTGGTTGCATATATTTTTTGTGTACAGAGTATTGAAAGATGCTAACTCGGGCAATTTCATATCTCTAGGTATTTATTCTATGCTTGTAAAACGAAATGGCATTTTTCATCCCATCTTGACTGGAAGAGAGAATACATTTAGGTTATAAATTGTTTAGAATTACTTGTTAATGCTATTGGCTTTTCTGTATCTGTTTGTAGGAGGGACAGGAGGGAGATGGATAATGCTTTACACATAAAATCATAGAGGAGAAAATCAGAAAGCAAGCTTTGTTTTCGACATGTTTAAACTGTTCAAATGGCAGGAATCGGTTGCCTTGGAAGCAGATCTGCAGCTGAATGAAACCTTTCACCTGTCCAACATATGAAATATTTATTATCTGAGGGTGACTAGAGATTCAATAAAGCCAGACATTCAATGCAGAAAGCAGACCCTGGCTCATCACCTCCATGAATTTCACAGGTCCTGTGGCAACCAGATTAGATTTTGCCACAGAGAGAGGGAAGTGGGCTCAATTGCAGTATTGGGTGTAAGGAGAAATAAAACAAGAGGAAAGCAACACCTTAACTTATATTCGATTTAACCACGTTGGTGAAGCAAAATGCTGATGCTCCTCCTATATTGTGTTTAGTAAGGCTGGAAAATGTTATTCTTTCCAATTAGAGAGAAGAGCCCACTCTCTCTTTAGATAATTACTTTTCCAATAAATTATTCTTGGCCACTTGTTTCCCCATAAAAATTGCCCAGTGTTTTTGTCTCGTAGGAATTGTTTGTGGGGTTTCCCCCCCCCTCCCCTTCTCTTTTGTGTGGGTTGGAATTAATTTATTATAGGGCTGAAACTTGGCAGAGATCCAGACACAACAATCTGAAAAATGTTCATACTAAAATTCAGTGATGGGTTTCCTTGTTTATTTTATCTCAGAGCCTCCCTGAGAATTCAGTCCTTCAAAATGGAGCACAGTTGATGCACAAGTGGGCATGTAATCCAGTTTGCTTTGTTTTTCAGGAAAAAGACTTTAGACATTTCTGTTGCTGCAGACACAATCCCGAGTATGAACAAAAGCCAGAGCCATTATTTAAGAAAGTGATATTTTTGCATAGCTGCTTTCAGCAGTGAATCACGCTTTGAAAGAACCTTGACATTTTTGCCCTTTATCACATTCATTCTTCTCTCAGAATATCTGGATTTCCAAGGCCTTTGGCATCCTTACTATGCCTAAAGAGCTTTAATGTCTGCATTCAAGAGGTGTTGAAATTGTCTAATTAAGGTAACAGGTAAAAATAAAGATTAGGATCCATTTTCCTCATATCCTAAATTGTACCACAATAAAGTATGATATTTCTGCTAAGTCTCTGTGTGTGTGAAGGGACTGAAAAGTTGTAGAGAGTTAACACGCACCACCAAAATATCGTGCCACTTTTGTTATCACACTCCACTTGGCAATTGCATGAAGGTTTTAGCAGTAAATATTGGATCAGATGACATAATTTCAAGTCAGGATTGCAGGCTCTTGGGTGCTGCACAGAACTGATCCTGCCCTGACAATTAAGATGGAAGTGAGGTACGAACGAGATGGGGAGGCGAGGACGGGAGCAAGAAGAGCGCAAGAAAAGAGACAATTCGGTATCTGAACGATGCCATTGCACAAAATGGGCCACCGCGGTTCGAAACCGATGCATACGCTGCTAGAAAATGGGGATTCCTGGCTTCCCAGTGGCAGGTAACATTTATCTCTAGCCTCTTTCACAACACAATAGACCTTTAAAATATTAACCGGTCCTCTGTTCGAGTTATGCTGTTCTTGCACTACTCCTGTGCCTTAATAGAGTGCACCTCTGGTCCCGGGCAGGAGCACTTCCCCATCCCTAGCATGTAATACTTAGTTATACGCTCAGGAGAGCAGGCGTTTTTCTAGACTCTGCCTTCATTTTTATTGCTTCTGTGCAAATTACTTCCTCCACGTCTGTTACAGTCCTTTTACCCTCTCCCAGAGCGCCGTGCTTACGCTTTCCCAACTTTGCCAGAGAGAGGTTGCTAGGCTCCAAGCGCACCAAAAAGCGCAGAACGTGCCTTCTTTCCTGCCTTTCCATATGCCTGGAATACCCCCCTCCTTTCCCACCGTGGTACATCAAGTACCTTCCCTTTCTTTCAGAAAGCTGAGAATCCATCTGTTCGGCAAAGCGTTCCATCTGCAACAACAGCGAGCCCAGTGATGTGCTGCCAATATTTCAACAAAGGGCTCCTCTAAACCCGTTCCCCTGAGTCGGCAACACAGCCCACGTCCCCAGGGTGGGGATCCTCGCAGACGGGAGGCGTGCGGGGCCGGCGGACTCTATTCATTTGGTTTTCCCATTTCAACAAAATGCTTTCCCATGTCCAAGGGAAGAGGCAGCAGCGTTTGGCAAACGCATTTGTGTTACGTGCCTCCTACCAGAAATGTTCATACTTGGGTCCTGGGAAGAAAAAAGATCCACTTTGTTGAGAGAGTTGCAGAGCCTTCACTTGGAAAAAATACAAGGGATGAAGACGGTAGGGAGGGATTTGAATCCCTTGCAGGGAGTGCTGAGGACCGCGTCTGTGTCAAGCACATTAGGGAAAGGGCCCCAGTGACAAAGAAGGAAATCGTGCCAAATTTCCCTTTCAGCATGATGCTACTGAAGGGCTGACCTTGCAAACGTGACTGGTAAATGTGAGGGCAGGGGTGAGGGAAGAGGGCTCGGCCTGAAGGCAGGCAGTTTTTCAGAAGACAGGTGTGAAGCACTTTTGGCATCCACACTTCTGCATCAGGTCTGAATACGTATTGTACAGCATAGAAATAAATATATGTATGTATTCATATATGTATATACAGATGTATATATAAATATATGTGCATTAGACAGTTGCTTTTGCAAACTTTGGCTGCTGCATTTGCTTCATACACTATTCTGTCTAGGCATTTTAAAAGCCCAGGCTTGATAGTTTTCCATGTGTGATTTATACAGAAGCTGATACATGCAGGCCTGGGTGCTTTGACTGCATGTACTTTGGATCACCCACTTCTGTCGCTATTTATCAGCTACACAGCATTAAGTTTACAGCAAGTTGCAATCACATATAAATGGCCATCTGTTAAATTACACTAAAGTCCCAAAGTTTTCAAAGGTGATGGTGTAATATATTATTTGCTATTTTTTAAATCAGCAATTTTTAAAATCATTTGAGGGTTTTCTTAAAAAACAGGAGAACTCTGCATTGGAACACACAACCTATGCCACTTCAACTCTCTTATCTTGATGTGCTTTTAAAATTGTACATAAGTAAAAAAACAAAAACCCCTTGGACTCAACAATTCAGTATATCCTTCATGAAAGCAGCTTGCTTTAAGCAGCAAGTTCTTCAGAGAAAAAAATGTTTAAAGCAGATGAGGTTTTTTGGTTTTGAAGAATAAAGAACACACAATTAGTGTCAGTGGTTGCTATCACATAGTTTAGCTTGATAGCATTAATCTATAGTACATGTGAAAATTATCACACTAAATAATCTGTATATACATGTCAGGAAGCAATTTTAGAAAATATTTTCTGGTTTTGCCTACTTTGGCTGACACATAGATAGCAAAGCGTCAAGTCTCTTACCTAAAAATGCAGGCACCACTAACACGTCTGTCCTATAACGAATTCTTTCAGAGAGAAATCCCGATCCTTATCCAGCAAAGCACAGCAGTACGTTTTGGAGCTCACCCATCTATAGTAAAACACTTTGGAACGTGTTTACATTTAAAGCATTTGTTGAATAGGCAGAGATTAAGGATGTGCTTAGTTGGTCTGTTGAACAGGGGCCTGTCTTAGTCTTCCAGGTCTTCTACAAAATAGGTCTAAGAAAGGTGCTATA